ACACAAAACACTCATGACGGGAGCTTTTCGCTGTGCTCGTCCTCTAGCGATCGCAGTTAAACTACTGATGACTTTGCTTTGCATGCATTGATCAGAATTTTCGTACACAGTTCATCTTCAAATAAAGCAATTAAGAAAAAATTGTAATGGTTGCTTGACTATAACTTTAAAAAATTCAACAAAGATTAGTATATTTGATGCATGCTTATCGCCAAGAAAATTGCCATAGGTAAATTTTGAATTCCTAAAAAGGGTCCTCGGCGTGTGTGGCACGGTGGTCGGAGGAGCCCTACAACACACAGGTGGAATCGATCCCTGCACCCATGACCCACCAAGCCCTCCATTCCTCCGGGGTCGGCATATTGGTACCAGATTTGTCTGGTAGAATAACAGCACTGGCTCTATACATCGGTAGGCCATCGCGAGTCATTGTAAAGACCAGAAATGCATTCAATCACCTCAAACCTTGATTGATGAAGTCGAGTTCATGACGCTTCCCCCAGAGAATAATCAACGCCAAGAACTTTAGAAAGCTGTCTGTGGAAAGTTTCGCTGATGATATTTCCTTACTTAAGAAGTCCTTTCCTTAAAGATCCAATGAATTGATTTTAAAAAATATGAATAAGCGTCGTAACAGAGAAGGAATGAATAATTACTGAAGGATTGTCAGCAATGAGTTCGATAATAGGCTTCTGCTTAGCCGAATTTTGCAAACAGAACACTTGAATGAAGAGAAATGTTGAGCGGCCAACAGAATCCAAGCAAGATGAGTCTCCGTGATCGCCCATCAATGTAAAAACTTCTATATGTAGACATTGTGAATCCTCTGGGTCTAAACCACGTAATCTTAACAGTTCCAAAGATCGACTTTCTACTAACCTCGACATTGGATTATAAATCTGTTGTTCTCTTTTTAGAGCAATCGCGAGGTTGTTATTCAGCACACGTTTACTTCCTTATAGAAATAACACATACAATACAACGTTACCAAGATCGACTTTCTATTAACCTCGGCATTGGAATGAAGTGAAGAAGTCTCCAAGCAAGTAAACGTGTGCTGAATAACAATCTGCGATTGCTGTAAAAATGAGAGCAACACGTAATCTTAGTTGAATTGACAATAGGATAAATCCATGTGCGAGAAGTATAAGAGAATAACATATGCGGAAAAATGGTCCAGAGTTCTCGTGAGATATAACGCACTGCACTTTACACGGCCTAGGCAAATCACGCCCTATGTTCTTTCAGGATCGCTTATTTGTCGGTAAACTCACTTATCAATGATAGGTAAGCAATGACTAATTCGCTGGCTCTCCCTGGGAAACCATCGCAGAGTCTAAATCCACTTCAAATTCTTCAGGGAATCTTTGAGCTTAAGCCTATGACAGAACGTCTTGACAAAAATTTTTTCCGTTGTAAACATAGTCGATTGCTAGCTTAGTGCGTTAAATTTTCTTGGTCTTGGTCGCGCAACACTAAAATTTCTATTTCAAAACCGACTTTCCTTTAACCGAAGTGTGGGAAACCAATATGTATTCTCTCTTTAATAAGCTTATACGACGCTGATAAATGGTAATTATTTTTGGCTAACGTCTTGACGGTTTCGTCGTCGTCAGAGTGATCCGAGTCAATGGTCCACAGCTGTTTCACGAGGTGGCGTCTTGGTGGCGCTTCGAGCTGGATCTTCCTCAGTGGAGCATCTCTCTCGAACTCCAAAATTTCATGCTTTACGACATTCCACAATAGTTTCCAGTATACAAACTCCAGTTCCAACCTATTCGGTTTTGTTATATTGACATAAATATAAATTTGGAGAGATTTTGCATGTTCAGCACACAAAATGTGAACTTCAGCAACTGCCTAACTGGGTTCGTTGCCGATTCGAGCTCCCTAGATCAATCCCGTTGACGAGTGATTGCTGATGGCGCTGATCAATAGAACTAGCTGAGGGACAGGCGAAACGAAGATCCTTCATGCTGTACAGGTGAACGTGATAGCACCTGGAAAGGGTAATAGTGCTTTCGTTTCCTACCGTCGCAGACACCTACGGTCCGAAGTTTTGCAAATATCTCAGCATCAATGTTGTTGAATCACACATAATACTCTGCTGCAAAAATTGCAGCAGGCAGTAAATAATGTATTAAAATTGTGATTGCGGCAAACGTTAACATTTGCAGCCACAAAACGAGATTACGCTTTGAACAGCGAAACGGCACATCGCTCGTGTCTTTCTTTCTTATCACTTGCTGTTGTACACAAAAGTGCGATATGCGACTTTTGTTGTGATGAAGTAATCCTTATTCCAGAAATAGTCGAGATGTTGTTTCGTTTTACAACTCATTCGGTAGCATAGCTAGAAATTATCTTGAGCTGGAATGTTTAGATCTGGCCTGTAATACACATGTCCTCTTTTCCAAATGCGCGTCTACAGGCTGACAGAGTCCGCCAAACCCTCCTGCATGTGCAAATTCTCGTCTACCAGACTAACCCATAATGATAAAAATACCGAACGTGATACATCGGCAGACCCTATGTAAGCCGCTGTGTAGGCCGAATATTAACTTAGTGATCTCTACGGTGGTTAACGGAATCTGATGCATTGTGCTTAACCCCGACACTTCCTTGCGATTTATAAGGAAGTGACCTACGAATGATTAAAGGCCCTCCGGTACTTCGAAGCACTTTACCTTCGCAGCACTCTTCCGAAAAAAGCTTTGTTTTTCCCTGATTAGTTGCCATATCTGTTTGCCAATGTCGGGTTGAATGAGTTTGTTTAAACTATTTTATTACACTGTCGCTAATTCTCCGTTCTTCATACCAATCTAACTTGCTTATCACTGAAGAGTGGCTAGTCCTATTTATGCCCTGCACAGATTGCCTGATACTACGTTGAAAATACATCATGATTTTATCAAACGCGTCATACTTCTGAGTTTTGACCGTTTTATACGCAACGAGAAGAAGTCAAACTCTAGGAGATTCTTCACTCCCGCACTTGTTAATTGCTTCACCATCATTCTGAAAATCATTGTATCACATATCAGACAGCATGCATATGTTTTATAACCTTGAATCACTTAAGGCGAATTTCTAACTCATTGCATTATTAGGTCGCTCTTGATTTTTCGTCGAAGTCAGTAGAACACGTTTTCATGAGTTGGTGCTAAACTCTAGCCCGTCTTGCAGCTTGTTATAGCAAAGTCTCTATCGACTATCAATTTGAAGAACGTGATATTTATTTGTCACTTGACAGTTGTCAAGACGTCATCTAAACGATAATAGAAAAAATACAATGGCATGACCACTTCGTAAATACTGTGGGGTTTTTAGGACAAGAAATGTTTGACCAATGACTTGAAGTGTCGCACGTTGTTTGGAAGTTTCCGAGAAGAAAAATTTGATCGTGGCGGTACGCGAGGTTTTCAAAGACTACAGAAGACACAGAGTAAAAAATTGATTCATTCCGTTAGAAGTGGTAGCCACTGAAGAACTTGGCGGATAGAGAAATCTTAATATCAACCAGCTAAACGTTTAGATGAAATTACAATGTGGAATAGTCAGCAATAGCAAGCTGTAAGTGTCACATAAGCTGTCCTAAGAAATACGTTGGACCAATTTCGGCTTTGAAATTCTATGGCAAACGGAAAAAACTGATCCTTTCTTGTAATGCTTGATCATTTGCGATGTGAAATGCAAGACAAAAACATGGAAACTAAATCGTTTTATAAGCGCTCTGAAGAACCCTTTACTATCACCGACGATCTATACCATCAAAACACCCGCTGTGAGCCAAGTGGGATTGAAGTTCTTATATTGTTTCAGCCTTAATCTTTTCATAAAAGTAAATTATTATTCCTAACAGATATTACTTACCATTGACCACTTTCCAACGATTATTCAACGAGAGACAATCAAAAATGGCTTAAAGGAAAGGCACAGAACTTGTCGGAAATGTTGTTGTTCCTATTTTCTCCAGATATCTTCTATTGTCATTATTGCACACTCACATCTTTGCAGAAGATTTCAAATGTTTTGAACTTCATTTTTTGGGGGCCTTCCAGAACTTCGTTTAGCTCAATTTGCTACCCAGATATCTAAGCAGTTCTATGACCTCGTGAACACACTGTTCTCACCAACCGTCCTTGATGACCTGACACGTGGTTGTGAAAACGCGTTTTTTGTTTTACCATGGGTAGCGTTTTCCGCAACTTCACTTCCTTATGAACGTACATAGTATTATATAGTCGTCGTTGAAGCAGTTCTATTGCTGCAATGAGCACTCAAAATGGTGGCCACTTTTCAGGGGATCACCGAAACCACTATTAAAATGCAATAAAGAATAAAGCGATTCAAATGTTTTTATGGTTTTCGTAAAATGCAAACCAAGTGGATTCTGTTGTTTTTATAATATTCCGTAGCGCAGAGGTAGTAATGCCGTTCGTCATGAGCACGTTGCTTGTTCGTCACCTCGTTTGAATGGCACGCGATTTGTTTGCTTCCTTAAAAAAGGTGAAATAGAACAGTGGTGCATGCTTTTTAGTACGTTCAGAATGACCCTTAGAATCCATTTTTTGAGTTTTCAATAAAGCTAAAAACTGCGTCATCGAAATGGGGAATATGAAACTACGTCTAATTTGTTGATGTTGGCGAAATTGTTCCCTATGTTGATGAGCAAACACGACGCTGGTATTATACCATTTATCAATACAGAATAGCTGATTCTTGCATAACAAACAGCTTCTTTTAAACACCCATCGCTTTTGTTTTTCGAAATTCTTCCAGTTACTTGCTGGAAAACAGCCGCACAGAGTATTATACGAGCCAGGAATGTGCCTGGCTCAGGTGAAAGGATCAGTTTTAACTAGGGCTTAAGGTCATGCGTGATCACAAAACACTCCTCCTTGTGGCTCATTTTTGGATTTTTGGAATTCATCTGGAGCACTTCAAGAGTTTTATGCGCTGATGTCTTAGATTCTTCTGCGAGAATAGTGATTTTCACTTCAAAATCCTCGCCGCCATATCTCTGTGTCCCATGCGCGCCTAATGGAGTATTCAACCTCTGAGTCTTTATAAGTGTTGTAAAACGGAACATTGTGTATTTCAATTTTAAGCGTAATAACCGATAGTTCTAATCCAGCCGCGTTTGCCATTTTGACAAACTCGTTGTTGAACTCTTGACACTGGCATTTGAATTCGCTTTCAGATGATGTGCGTTGGATCGAAGTCCCATCACCATGTTTTCCCATTATCTGAACATCTAACTGACGAGAAATTACTGCAGGCTCTTCACTTTTGTATCAGTTCTCGATCCTATCGCATAGCACTTTTCTGCAATACTGAAAGGCAGCAACTAGTCTTTCTGTCCCGATAGTGGTTAAAGATTTCGAGAGTTTGTTCGAAAATATGCGAAAACTGATGTCTACTTTTCCAGTTGCAGTCTTGCTGTTTAAAGAGCGTTGATCTGAACCAAGCACAATCTTTGCACTGTGCGGGTGTTGCCCACCAGTTAACTGGAAGGATTACAACGAGCAAGGCAATGAATTTCTAAAATAAGCTGCTTATTATGCAAATGGAAACTTATGCGTTAAGTTTTGCCCGCTGGGGTTATGCCAATTTTGATTGCTAGATTGCATGTCGATTTGACCTTTCCAGGCTCTGAAGACGAAACCGTCATAACGTCAGCCATTGTGCGCTAATAAATGCTATATTACCAACCTCGTGTTCGCTCGTTGAATAAAAGCAGTGAATTATTGACCAATGCAGAGGTTAAAAGAAAGCTTGTTATGGGATTGATAAAATTAGCTTAAAGTCGGTCTTTCAAACTCTTCACAGAACTATTCAACTTATATATAATGCTGAGATATTTGCAAAACTCTGGACCGCAGGTGTATGCTGTCCGGAGTTTTGCAAATATCTCAGCATTATATACGAGTTATATTTCGCAACATACTCTGCCAATGAAAAGAAAAAGGCAGTAAATAAAAGGGTTAAGATTATACAACTTTTGTTTACTGCCGTTCATTTTTCATGTCAGAGTATTATGTGAAATTCACTACAACGGTGCTGAGACATTGCAAATTTTTTGCGATTTATACCCCTAGATCGCTCTCCTTGCCGGATGATTTCTGCCAGAACCATTAGAGTAGAAGCCTGCCTGAGAGAAAGACAAAGCGAGGTCCTTGGCGGTAAAGTGGGTGACACATGAGCCCCAAAAGGAATAATCCGAGGTTCGAACCTGGCGTTCGAGTTTTGCATACATCTCAGCATCATTGTGGTTGTTCACGGAATTGTTGAAAACACGGCAAGTCGTTGAACAAGACAGAGCATGAGCTATTGATTGCTTGAAATAGATAAGCTGTATTCACTAGAATTAGAAGTGATTCTCGTAGGGTTATAAAAAGCAGTTAGTTTGCAATTCATTATAGTACATTGGACAATACCATTGAATCGAGGTGGTGATTTATGCCGATTTTTCTGATAAAATACACTATCCTATATTTATGTGGGTAGGTGGGTAGGTGGATAGGTGGGTAGGTGGATAGGTGGGTATATATGTATGTATGTATGTATGTATGTATGTATGTATGTATGTATGTATGTATGTATGTATGTATGTATGTATGTATGTATGTAGGTATGTATATAAGCTATTGACGTGAAAGGTGATCAAATATGACTCGTATCTTAGAAGCCAACTTTCATAAAAAATAATCAATAATGTTCTATGTGATTGAGCTGACACATGATTGGAATAAAATTTTTTATTCGGCTAATGCTAATGCTGACTTTAACCTCAGTGCCGCGTTGGTCCGAGTCGATCGTTGACAGCTGGTCTTTGTCGCGATGTGGGTGTCCGTTGTCGCACCGTAGTTGAATCCAGTGAGAGAGCACCGTTAGAATGGCTAGTGCGACAACAACCACCTGTGGACCATCGACTCAGATCAACGCGGCTCTGAAGAAGGCAAACAAACTCGTGACAGCTCAATCATATAGAAAGCTATGAGACAATTTCATGTCGTAAGTCAACTTTGCGCAACTAAGCGGCTCCATAAAGGTACTTGATGAGCAGTGAAATAAGTTTGTAACTGTTTTCAGGATAAGGTGGATGGTAGAAAAAATGATACCATCTCGCCAGAACCATGTACGGTCACTTTGGAGATCTTCAAGCGGAAATTGATAGGCACAACACTGAAGTGAAAGTGAATAACCAGCAGCTACATCATCTTTGATATACCTTTGACGTTCTTTTAATACTAAGCATTAACCACACGGTGTGAAATCTGCGCCAATTCGAAAGCATTTCAGTTGAAAGCGTAAGAAAACGACGCCCATGAAAAATGGCTTTCTTCTTCATTCGAGCTTAATTCAACTAATATCTACAACTGCTTTAGTTATGTATGACTAAATGGAAAGTCAACACGATAAACAAGTTAGTCGCAGAGCCGAGAGAAAAAGTAGCAGCTTGTGGGCTCACATGAACGTCTAGGATACAGAGAAAGGGACCAACAACGCGAAAACTCGATTTTTTCTGGGTTAACTTAGCGCCAGAAAAATTGGACGCTACTTAGATAAGATGGAAAAGAACATAGCTTTGTATCAAATGTAGTGTAGTTCACTAAGAGATCAATAGTAGGAATGCCGTCAGAAAGAGAAGTTTAGTGCTATATTGACGACCAAGGATTAACATATAATGCTTAGGATGATTGTGTAGAATGCGATCTGTTCGTTTTGAGGTAAGGACGCCCCATAATACGACAAGACATCAAAGGCCGGTTAATTCGGACATGTGGTGGTTCTTAACAACACCAGTCAAGAGCTGTTAGTGAATGGTTAACGCGATGTCAAGAAAGTATCAGAAGAAAATCGGCCATCAAATTGTCAGAAGTGTTTACAAAAATGATGCACGAAAAATCTATTGATCTTGCATATTTCGAGCCAGCAGAATCACCTCAGAATTTCTGAAATGCAACAAGCATACATGGGACTTCCGACCATTTTGTTCATCCAACGATCACCGGGGCGCAGTGGTAAAACAGAGAAATTCTAATGTGAAGATGAAAAGATAAAGGATAGCTCCCTCGGCGTTGATCAATCTGTGAGGTGTGCGCCGTGCATTCGCTTTCATTAGGTATCGTTGGAGGTGACTGAATTCATATCTGGTCTTTACAATGACTCGGATTAGCCCACCGATGTATCGAGTCAGTGCTGCTATCCTCCCTCTTAGAAAAGTCTGGTACTGATTTGCCCCCCGCCCCGGAGGGATGGAGGGCTTGGCGAACCTGGGGCGCGGGGATCGTTCCCATGTATATTGCAGGGCTGCTGCGATCACTGCGCCACACGGGTCCTTGTGAAATGTGGAGATAAAGGTTAATAATATTGTTCAGTTTCGCTCCTGCGTTAAATCTAACGCTGAAATAATGATGCTAAGAAGTCCAGCAACTACTGTAGTGAGCGATGGTTGGAGAAATCCATTAACACTTATTGTTTTAGCTACTATTTCCCGAATAGTTACTATTTACCTGTACCACTACACGTTTTCTGCTCTAACAATGTTTGCCGTTAACAACATTTAGCGCTGCCTGCCAAAGCACTTCTCAAAAATTCTGTGTCGCGTGTTTCATCGCCAGCTGTCCCAAGTTTTTCCCTTGCAGCTAGCTGGAAAATACTTGTAGTTCCGCACGGTCAACATCTGCGCGCTTAAAAATCAGATAGTAGATGGAAACTCTGTGTTTTGCTTGCATGTGAACATCTAAGTTCTTACTGTAACTGGAAAAGAGTTACGCTTATTCCTGAACGAAGGGAGGCAGTAGTCATCTTTTGGATGCGCTTAGATGCTCTCACAGCTTTCACGTTCTTGCCTCTTCACCTTCCTTTGCACGTTCCATTTTTTAATCCCTACTTTCACATGATCACTACAGTATGTTACGCATATTACTGTCTTAATAATCACCATCAAGTTAAAGCTATTGCGCGTGTCGTCTACCATCTTAAGCTCCTTTTACGTTACTGCTATATTCTCTGTAACACTTTTGCACCATACTACTCCACTAATATGCTGCGAAGCTAGTCTCTAACCTTAGCGTGACTTCTTAGTCAACATCCCTTCTTTGCCTATTGATTTCGTCGTCGTCTTGTGGTTTGCTTTTTTTAGTGCCTTCACATCGTTCTTGTTTTGATGACGTTGCTATTGTATGTAACGATCTAATTACTCAGGTTTTAGATCTACTCTGCGGCAACAACGAAGATCGCATATTTGTACGGAGTCGAGCATTCTATTGCCACCTGTTTCACTTGTCACCTGAAGTCCCGTTGATCGTCGAGTAACTCGAGCGAACGCCAGTAAATCTCCCAATTTTCCCTGTCGCGTGAAAGAGTAGCCCAGTTGGTTCCACTCGATCCAGGGACTCATCGAGCATCATATCTTTCCTCAAGGCTCTTTGTGAAGAACTCTGACTAAGGGGTCGGTGGTCTTCCAGCAGTACGTTTGACATCCCTAGGAATCCAATCACTAACGACTCGTGTCCATCGGTTGTCAATCATACGCATTAAGTGTTTGGCCCACCTTATCTTCTACTGCTTGGCGTACAAAAGGCATCTTTGATTTTTGATCGTTGACAGAGATCGGAGCTTCGGATAACATCCCTTACTTGTGTGGAACGGGATACTCCTAGCATCGTCCTTTCGACTGCGCCTTCAATAACGTTGAGTGATTTTTCATCATGTTCACGCTGCGATCAAGTTTCTGAAGCATAGGTTAACGCAAGAAGTGCCGTCTAGTCGAAAAGGTGGGCACGAAGTTATGTGTTCCCTGTCCTCTTCACTACATCCTTGATGCTCTCGAAAGCTCCCCAAGCCGCTCATCTCCTGCTCAGCTCTGGAGCTAGGTCGTTCATCATATTGATTTCCCGATCTAGATAGATTTAACTGGAGCATTCGGAGATATTCGTTCCGTTGAGCGTGAATGGGGCATGCGAAACCAATCTGTTCTTCATGAACATCGTTTTGTGAGATTTAGTCTAAGACCAATCTTTCCACAGGCTTTATCAAAATCGGCAAGCATACGTTCTTCTTGGCTAATGTTCAGTGTTATAAGAACGACGTCATCAGCAAACCGAAAATGGTGTAACTGCCAACCATCGATTTTCACTCCCATATAATCCCATTCCAATGTTCGCATGACGTTCTGGAGGGTGGTGGTAAATAATTTTGGCGAGATGGTATCTCCTTGCCTGACTCCTCTGTTGACGTCAATGACGTATCGTTATAGAATGGTGACATCTTGGTTGTGAAATTTTTGTACTGCTCACGAAGAATCTTTATGTACTGAGTAGGGACTCCTTGACTATCAAGGGCTTCCAAAACTGCTTCTATCTCAACTGAATCAAAACGCCTTCTGTAAATCGATGAAGGTGAGACGGAGCGGTCTTTTCTACTCTCGCGATACTTCAATGAGCCGTGTTACCGTTTGGATATGGTCCATCTTACTAAATCCTTTTCGAAACCCTGCTTGCTCACATGGCTGTCCTTCATCTAGTGTTCTGTCAATACTGTTTAGGATGACTCGAGTGAAACGTTTGTCGGCAGACAATAAGCAGATTGGGCAATAGTTGCTGATATCGTGCAGGTCACCCATCTTGAACAATAACACAGTCTTAGTGGTCTTCCACTGAGTAGGGACCTTGCATTCAGACAGGTAACGTGTGAAAAGCCGAATGCCAGTTTACGGTGGTTCTGGGACTTCGGTTTTGGAATTCAGCAGCTTTCTCTCCTTTCCGCGAGAAATGGAATCTTGCACGAAGGAGACGATGGTCTGGTCTCGTGTAGAAATTTTAAATAACAGCGGCATCGGTTAGGCAAACCCTTCTATCTACTATAATGTGGTGTATTTCGTTATGGTACGCTCCATTCGGAGACTCCCACCCTGAGGGTCCAGAATTGCTGGTTACCATGGATGGTCTTGATCGACATGATAAACTCGTAGAGCCGGTCACCCTGTTCGTTTCCTTCTAATATGTGGGTTCCAGTGTGACTTCAGACGTTGTTCTTGGTCCAACCTTGGTGTTGAAACCTCCAGTGATGACTTTGAAGAATGTGTGGTCTTCTCTGTAGAATTTCTCCAAGTCCATATAGAATGCTTCGACTTCTTCTTCGTCATAGCTTGACGTCGGCGCGCAAACGACGAAGATTGTTAAAGCCGGAATTGATCCAGGTCTTCTTAATCGCAAACATCCGGTTCGGGTTGTAAGTTGCTCGAATGAATCGATGTTCATGGACAAACTCGTGTTGACGAGAATGCCGACGCCGCCGACTCCTCTACTGTCGCATGTTCCGTGGAACAGTTCTTCTCCTGTGTCATAGACGGCGTTGAAAGGCCGGCCTCTTGCGGTCTCGGTCAGGCCGATGACGTCGTACCTTTCCTTCTTTCTTGCATGAGCAGGTCCTCATTTTTGATACTCACGTATAGCTAGCTTGGCTCCGAACGTGGGGGCTAGGTATACTCACGGGTAGCTTGCCAGGCTCTCCTAGACTAGACATGGAGCTTATTTGTTGTAGGCGACTCCGAACCGCCTCCCATATACTTTCCAGTCACCTGATTGCAAGCTTTTGGCCGAATCGACTCGTAGAATACAATCCGCATGAGCAAGAACGTACCCACATACGCATGCATGAATACGCCTAGCAAATACAGAAAGTATGTGCCAAATCAGCGCAGCAGAAACAGGGAGTCCATCTCGTGGATCCACTTGCGTCTCAGAGAAGCAAAGTTCGCTTTTGGTCTGCGATTATCCTCTTATCCGTCACCTGGAGACGCGCCATGTAGCCTCTCGACTAGCCGGTTCGAGATCCCTCATATGAAGGAGATCCGTGGATTTTAAATATTCTATTCCCAGCTGATGATTATTCGGTCTTTTTGGCCGACTTTATCGAGTTAACTACAATAAATATTTCATTTATGAAATTACCAAGAAGCATTCTTGGTGTAATAATTCAATGGGTCTTATAGTTCTGCAAATAAACTAGCGGTTCGCAACAATCCAAAGTTTTACTTCGTTTTTATACTTTTTTCTGAATATTATCTCGAATTAAACTCTGCAATATTACTTCGGGGTTAAAAATACGCCCATTTCCTCTTGGCTCACTTGCATAACTGCATATTACAGGACTTCGTTATCGGAAATGCCAGCCGCCTTCCAGCAAGTTATTGAGTGTGCTCGACGTGTCCTTGGTAGCCAGGAACCCTGCCGGGTCAGGATTATTTCGAACGACGACGTTCACCATTGCGAGTAAGTTTATTGAAAACCGATACATTAAAAGAGATTTCTTTGCAGGAAAGAAATATCCAGAGAACGAATGTCAACTTCCGACGACCTCAAACATTTTCTTTCTTTCTTTCTTTTTTTCTTTCATCCATAGGGTAGCCAATTTTAACATAGATAAATCTTGTAAAATAATTACACTCTTTTACCCCTCAAACTGCACGTGAGGGAAAAACTAAACTAGGGTTTGTGCGAAGATCATTGTAGCCCACGTTAGAATAATGAGTATACTGCGATCCCCTTGCCATTTAAGTTCACGCTCCTTTTCCTACTTCCTCAATGACCGTTCTTATATATAGAACAGTTATGTTTTTTTTGTGCAATTTGTACATTAGTGCAATGGAATCGGATCAGAACTGGAAATTAAGATCAACTAAATGATGCAGAACCATCGAAAATAGTCATTCCTATCTTTGTTGTTCTATGATTTGCCGAGGTTTTGTGTCAGTCTTCAGTTCAAGTTCATCTAGTGATTTCTCATTTCGGGATTTCATGATATATCCCCTTCTGTTGACCCCCTTTGCATTGCGTTGATCGTGGGTTTGTGCTTTGGCAAAATCTACTTTTCGATGTCAAAACAGACTTTTACAAATATGGTTATTTTAAACATCGATGTCCATTTCCCGTTACTGAATCGCTAATTAAGTACTAGCTTCTATTTATTTTCTATGTATTTTAAACTGGGAATGGCGTTAAACAAGAAAGTAATTCGATCCGTTTCCTTATGAGAATAGAGCTTGTGCTGGCCGAAGAACTGAAGTTCAGCACAACCATTTGAGGGCCATCATGGATGCTGATTGCCTGACAAGTACGCCAGAGGCTGTTCGTTCGACGGTCTGCCAGCCAGTCCTCGGTGCTTTTTCTAGAGACTGCTAATATTTTTGATCATTTCCACGCCACTTTGAGTTCGATTATCTCGCGGCCGGTAAGGGTGAATCTTCTGGAAGTAACTGCAAGTGTTCAAGCAAACAATGTTGTAACTCGCTTAACAGCTATCGAAGAGCTCGTTTAGCTTATAAATTTATGTTGGTGGACTAACTATTTGGATAACCGATTTTAGTCGACACTGAATTTTTTGAACTTTGTGAACGATTTTGAATTATGACTTTTTTAAGACACCGTAATGCAAATAACCTAAGAATATTCAGTATTCTTGCAGTCTCGTCCAGCACTTCAGTGATTGCGCCGCCGTAACCATCAGCGGGAATCTGGATGATGTGGAGTCCTCAAATAATCTCGATGTCCTTATTGTGAACCAAGCACTCGAGAAGGTTAGTCTACTTTTCCGACTATTGCTGTGATTTTCATCATTTTTCTGTGGTATTCTGCAGTGTTGTCCAATGTAGTTTGTTTTCTAATAAATACCCATGCAGTTGGAAATCTTCATTGAACGTTTCCATTCCTGATTTTCATTCTACTTTAGGTAGTTTCGAACTGAATTTCTACCTGTCAAAAAGCACATCATGGGTATGAGATTGATATAATGTATCGCGTAGCTGTACCCAACACACACACACACACACACAAACACAAAAGCGCAGACGTTAGTTGAATGGAAATCGTTAGAATGGACAGATCTTTACCACAAATGTACAAATCGCTTTTGCTATTCACTGGTGGAGTTCTGGTTTTATGGTGCTCATAGGTCGTCTCTTTGCGCCCTTTACGGTCAGGCGTGAATTTCGAACCTAGAGTCGGATTGACAAGCCCGTTTTCCTGCAACGAAACACGATAGCTTTGCAGACTGCGTCGTTAATACTGCGGTCGCTCTAAACTTTTTTTGTGTCAGCTACGTTAACACTGCGATGTATGAGTTTTGTGCCTGTTCCCTCCATCTTCATTTGAAATCACTTGCTACAATCAGCTATTCGTTGTTTCCAAGCGATGTATTTTAATAGATTTCACAAATAACATTGGTATCGCTTATGCATTCAGAAATTGTGCAAGTGGAAACGAAAGCTAGCCCATGCAATTGATTCCGCATTTCCGTACAGTGAATCTTTTCAAATATGGGAAAAATGCCTCTGATCAAATCTAATTGGTCGATTTCGATACTGAAAACCGATCAGGGCTTCTTCAGCTTTAAGTAACAAAGTCTTTGTGCCTGGTAGGACTCAACGTTATCCATTCTGCACATCAAAACATCGTTTTGTCTACTACTCAACCACCGCCTTATATCTACGCAATGAAAATTGACCGCACGAAAAATGAACAAAGAGATAAATGTGGAATTTAACCTCCTTATTAAGAAATTTTTATTGGACTCGTTGGAAGCGAATCCATTTCTCATGCGAATTGTAAATAATTGTAAATGAAACACTTAATAGATTAAAAGTCTAAATAAAGTTAGGTTTCTAAATTTGAAAATTTTTGGAATAAAAAACAAAGAAATATAACTTTAATGATGCTGAGATATTTGCAAAACTCCGGACCGCAGGTGTATGCGGTGGGGAACGAAAGCACTATTGTCCTTTCCAGGGAGTAGCGCGTCCACCACCACACCACGCGGGTCCTTCGTTTCGCCTGTCTCTCAGCTAGTTCTATCGATCTTTTACCATCAGCAATCACCCGTCAGCGGGATTGATCTGGAGGGCCCAAATCGCCAACGAACCCAGTTAAGCTGAGGCCGCACTTATAATCACAATTTTAACTTATTATTTATTATTATTTATTATTATAACTTACTTAGAACCAGCTGAGGGACAGGCGAAACGAAGGACCCGCGTGGTGTGGTGGTGGACGCGCTACTCCCCGGAAAGGACAATAGCGCCTTCGTTTCCCACAGTATACACCTGCGGTCCGGAGTTTTGCAAATATCTCAGCATTTCATACGAGTTATATTTCGCAACATACCCTGCCATTAAGAAGAAAAACGCAGTAAATAAAAGGGTTAAGATTGTGATTATAACTAAATAATAAGTTAAAATAAAGAAATTTGGATTTAAAACTCCAACTAAAGTTAGTTGGAGTCCAACCAGATTTTGGGTGAGTGGTTCTCTATCTCGTTCAAGCTTGATTCCAGATGGGAATGTGTAACCTGTTTAAACCTCTCGACATCGCCAGGATTTCCACTGCGATGAAAATTTCAGGGAAAAGACTAGTAGATATTTCATCATCACCTTGCGTCTTTTCCTTCTTTCTCTCTTCCTATTTTCATTTATGCATAGCAGTGGTGACTTTTTTCTCTCATTTGCAAATTAGTTCTATTAGAACTCTCCAAAATGTAGGGACCGTTTTTATTCAAGGTTTGTCATAAACGTCAGTTTATGATAAACCTTGAATAAGTGAATATAAACAGTGCTTCCTTAGTCTTTAGCACTCCCATACATCATAATATTTATCTGTGTCAACCGCAAGTCGTCAAATGGTGAACAATACTTATTTAGTTGCAAACTTAGTTGGTCCGTCTTCACGAGCAGTGCTGGCCATAGCACATTTTTCGTTGACATCGCGTAATCGTCGTTTATGGTGGTGGTCTGCTTCGAACATGGTGACGTTCGCGAGGTCCACTCTGTAGTTCTGCGAATGCAGATGGATAGCAATAATTACGAACACGTCTACTTATCGATGGGGTTGCCTTCAAGAGAACGTCTTTATTTTTTTGGAAAACTTTCCTATGATTACATGACCAGCCCATATGTGGTTCACTATCATTGCTCATTCATCTGTATCTCGAAGATGGGATAGGTTGGAAAGGTTTGAGCTGCGCATTCCGGTTGCAAGTACGGCAAACAATGTAATTATTAATCCACCGGTTTTCTTCAAACCCACAAAAGTGATCCCAACCAACTAACTTCATCCAATACATTCCCTAAGCTCTTACATTCTAACGAAAGATTTCATACAAAAATTTTGTTGACATTGTATCCTTGAGCCTTCCAGAATATTCTGGGGTGGCAATATAGCAGTAAAAAGCTAGTAACAATGGCAAGGACTGCAAACATTTGAGACTTGGTACATTTTCAATATATCAGCTTTCTTCTTAGGAACTGAACGACAACGAAAAGCTGGAGAGCTTTGTCGAAGGTGCACTTCGGTCAATTCGTGATGGTGGAGTGTGCATTTTACGACAAGATCTGTGTGAGGCCTTTCAGTAGAGAATTGAAACGTGAACGAATACAGTAATGTGCTGGTGATAGACATGACTAGTTTATTACATTTTATGATTTTTCAGCGCCTTTAAGCGATACCAAGAAGGTCGCGAAACTCACTGACTATCTCGATGTGTTCCGAATGGAAGACCAAGGCAAAATCGCCGGCTTCTCGTTGTACGCAGTCAACTTGGTTGAAGACTCTGTTCATGTAAGTTGCTTTTTCTGTTTTTCAGAGGCTAGGACTATTATACTATCACTTGTTGAATAGAATTTACGAAAAGATGCTTTAAAACATGGCGTCCTCAACCTACAACTGATGATGACTTGTCGACCTTTAGAGTATTGCAGGAGGTGAAAATTCCAAGGATTTATGGAAGAGACTTTGCTCCATTCCCTTAATCCCGCATACAATTTTGGAAAGTGCTATTTCAGTCTTGAACACGCTAAGATTTAGAATTTCCAAACATTTGAAGAAAAAATTAGCGCGCCACATTGGTGAATGCTCATATGGGCGAGGTCCCATTTGTTCAATTGATTTCTTGTTCCAAATATAAGCTTTGGTGGAAAATGAGTGAACAATCTATGTCATAGGCTCCAAGAAATCGGAATTTCACCTTGTTAGAATAATATAATTTAGATTTTGCAGGCAAGATTTGAATAGTCCTAATATCTTTCGTTCCAACTAACAAACCGTAATACCGCAGCTATTTATCAACCATCAAGTTCACCTGAGGCGAAAAGGATTTAACATTCAATGTGGAAGTTAGACTAAAATTGATCTACGACGGAAGTAATTGCAGGTGTTGAATAAAGACGAAAGCAGACAGCATTAATCCAATGTTCGCTGTTTTCTTGTGGCGATGAAGCCCATATGTTTTGCTGATCAAGTTATTTGAGTATCCGGCGCCAAGCATTGTGTCCATTCCTAGTGCATTATTTGGTCCAGAACGAGCGTAATAATCTACACGCTGTAGCTTAACCTGCTGTGTTGATTGAGTTTGATTCCTATCAATCTAGGTGTCAGAAGTTAATCCCAACTACAAATTTTTTTTTAAATGAGTAATGGTTTTTGTGTAATTATGAATGGAAAAGGGCGTGTGTGGCGCAGTCGTTGGAGGCGTTCTACACACACGCGGAATCGATTCCCTCTTCCATGGCCCACAAAGCCTTCCATACAACCGAGATCGGCAAATTGCTACCAGATTTGTCTCGGAGGATAACATCACTGGCTCGATACATCGGTGGGCCACCACAAGTCATTATTTAGGTTAGATATGCATTCAATCACCTCCAACGATACTTAATGAACTCGAATGCACGGCGCATTCCACAGAGATTGATTAAAGCCGACAGCTTTATCCTTTTTATCCTTTATGAATGGGAATAGTTCTTAATTGGTTTCAGGCACACCAAAATTGGCAAGACTTTATCTGGACAATGATAAAAACGACATCTACTAAAAAATCTGAAGCAGGCGAAAGTTTTATCTCTTTCAGGTGCAATATTTGGTCTAAAACTAAACAACGTTCTCAGTTCAAAGTATACAATTGAATTTAGAGATTTCTTGGACAAAACCCAATATACAGACACCGGCATCTTCGCATACGAATGGATTTTCGGGAAGAATTTCATCTCTCCTGGTGGGTTAGACTTTACTTTTGAAGAGATTAAAGAAATCGTCCAGAAATATTGCTCTGTCGCAGGATTTTTTAAAATGCTTTCCTCGGAGCAGCTCAAAAAATTGTTAAATGACATAGCACATAACCATGTTCATCTGTTCACCGTAGTTTATTTAAGTTTCTTTAGACATTAAGTTGAGAAACAAATATTTTCTTTAGGTATTAGGTTAAGAAACAAATATTGACCTACTACGGACCGCGAATTTTGCTCTCTTTTAATTTGACTTAAGGGAGAGTCTATTTAATAAAAGAAGTATTAAAGCAAATACTTTTTTGCCAACGTAATATAAGTCTAGTTATTTCGTTCGCATAAAGTTCTGAAATTTTATAAAAGACGAATCTCTTCAAAGCATTATTCGCAGAACTTTCGTTCTTGAACAGAATTCCTTCGAAGCAGATGTAGATATGTTTGGCAAAGGTTGGTGGGATGTCCGATGAGCATGATGGGAGTAGCAATGTTTTTTATAGCCATCTTTCTTCAATAGTAAGCATTAGCGAGAGCTTCTGATCTTCCATCCACTTTCGATTCAACTAGTCTCTCTAAATGCTCCACCTGCATTTTTTATCGGAAGGTGGGAACGATAAACAGCTTTGTTCAAGAGCTATGCAATATCAATGTCTGGTTGGACGAGTCTACAAGAAAATTAAGGATATGTAGAAAAGAGCGAAAAGCAACCTACTGCTAAGCTTTTCTACTCTACTGATTTTCCTTGCCTTTGATTCCGTATAGATGCTAAGTGAGAAAGATGGAAGATCACTTACTATTTATCCAACGAGGATATAAAGAAGGCCATGTTAAGAGTAGCTCGTATGGTGCAGATCAAAGAGGGAAATCGTAGAAACAGTTAAAGCAACAAGTGACGATCAATAACGTTGTATGTGCAAAGGTGTCAAAATCATCTGGACCTCACGAATGGCGCATTTTAATAACAATTGAAGGACATTAACCTTTAACGACTCAGATCTATGGTGTGAGAGACCACCAAACAAACAATGCAATTTCTTCATGAGGGTACTAGTAGAAGGGTTTTTTACCGTTCGTAGTCCTCGAATGACCATTGAGCATTGCGTAGCTCCAGTATACGAGGATAAATGGGGACATTGTTGGTGAGCGCTCTAATATTCGGCGATTTACGGGAATGAAGATGTTAACAACTACAGCTGTCGAAAACACTAATTCTTTCTATGTATTATGGTCATAATTTCTTTTAATTTATGTTTTAAATGACCCGAATCACATCTACTCTCGGATCCTAGCACTTCTTGCATTCTATTTGTTTCCTTCGCATTCATTGCCCACAATGACCTTCGAACATTCCGCGTATTGTTTTGGTTGCAGCTCTAAGACTTCGTCTTCTTTATGAATGTCGCAAAATACTGATTGAGTCGATTCTCCTGGCAATACTGGAGGTGTTCCCATTGGGCGGGAGAAGAACTTTGGGAGTGCATCTAACCAGCACCTTGCTTACTGATGGACTGGACCGCTAGCCACTGGATAGTGAATAGTTCATTTCCGAACTTCACTTCATAAGCAATTAAGCTTAATTTTTTAGTAGGTAGCTGTGTAACTGATATAATTCCGTTATCATTAAAGCTGTTGTTTTTACTAATTGTATTAAATACTTTGAAAACAAAAGGTTCTTTTGCACGATTATACGCTAAAATGGGACATTAATGACACGCAATATGTAAAGTCTGCTACTAGCCACGACAGTAATATTAGGAGGATGGAATCAAAATCTGGCTATCCTAAAGCGATTCGGAGTGATGACAACTGGGCAAAAAATGTTGGATATTGGCGTTGGAATCGGTGGTGGAGCAAGGCAGGCTGCGACTGTTAGTTCGCTATCAATTATCTGCAAAAACAGTCTTTATTTTTAATTATTTGTTGATTGCCGAGTTGCAATGGTGCCACTTGTCTCGGTCCTACTAATCATTAGCTTGCAGGAGTTCGGACTTCATGTAATGGGAGTAGATCTGTCTTCAAATATGCTCTCTATCGCTTTGGATAGAGTGCACAGGGACAAGGACTCACGTGTCATGCTAGTCATACCATATTTATTTTATACCCTCAATTCTTATTTATTTTCTAAGATGTTATTCTAGCTATGCAATCTGTAACGCCACTGAGTATGATTTCGACCCAAACTCGTTTGATTACGTCTTTTCCCGTGACTGCATCCAACACATAGAAGACACTAAGAAGCTGTTCTCAGTTATTTATGTAGGTGCAATTTATTAGAACTACAGCTTTGTAAAAATTTGTTTGAATTAAAAACGTATGAGATTATAGAGGATTTTCTTTTTAAAATATCATATATTTCTTCTTTTTTCTCTGCCATTTTTACCAAGCAGTAGTTTCAATGTAACACTCTTTTAGGGACCGGAACAGTTTCGAAAGCAGGATTTTTAGGCAAAGAATTTTCTCAACCACTGATACGTGCTAGAAGCTTTTAAATAACATTCCGCGAAAAGTTTAAGATCGAAATTTTTGAAGTGCATCCTGTTTGGAGCCTTCTTCTTACAGTTCTCGAAACAACTAATAGAAATTTCCATTGATGTTGTAAGGATTTTGCAACATTGGATGTCCATTTATTCATATTAACGGAAAAATGTGATATGCTTAAGTCTGTAGATATGGGTAAGGTACCCCGAAATTTTTTAGCAGTTCCCATGCACTAAATAGGGCATGTTAGGCGCAATAATTAAAGGGGAGTGCGATACAAACATAGCCATTGGTTCGATGCTCCAAGCTCTAAGCAAAAGCCTGATCTTTCCATCGTCGTCAAAATAATGTCAGAATTGTCCAAGAAAATCTCCCGTCAATTCGCTAAAGCCGAGGAGTGTCTGTGATGAAGGCCTGCGAGCACTATACTATAGCCATCCCGTGAAACTAACAGCAGTGAACTTGACAGTCATACAACGGTATTTGTGAAGAGGATGAAGTCCTGAATTTGTAGCCAAACTCACACACAAATTCATTGATCTTGGTAAGAATTTGAGACAAAGAACTGAGCGAAGCAAGATACCGGGAGATGACAACCTCGGTGAAAGAAGTTCGCACAGTATGTGACGTCGGTTCACACAAATAATTAAAAAATAAATGCTGAGAATATGCTTCTGTTTAGCGCATTTTTCACCATACGAAGCCTTTATTCCTCTATTATCATATATTGCCTTTACTAATTTTTACGTTATGGATAGCAGTTTTTCTCTTCCGTTGCCTTTTGCGCAATTTTTGTCTGAATTATTCTATAACGTTTTGTTAAACTTTTCTCTTAAGTATTCCAGCGCACTTTGAAACCCGGAGGAAAAGTTCTAATAACTATGTACGGCGTCGGATATGGTGCACTTAGCGTGGCCTTCAAGCAGTATGTCGCCAATAGACGGTACTATATGAAGAATCGTGATCAAATTAGAGCGGTGTGTTTAAAACGTCATTTTCATTTTTTATGAATCCTCCCAATCTCCGTTATCCAGATAGCAACGGACGTCGGCTTTACAAATATTGTCGTCGAAAACATCACCGATAGATTAAAGGAGACCGTGATGGAGGAAAAGCAGCGAGTTGAAGAGAACAAAGAAGATTTTATAGCGGTAATTTCTGATTATGAGTTTATTATAGTAGGATTTACCCACCTAGATGCTTGGATGGCTCATCTCCGAGGCCTAGTAAAATCATCATTCTTTTCCCTCTCGGAAACGTCCTCCATAGTGGTGGCCTGCTTCAAGCATGGTGATGAGAGCGATACCCGTTCCCTAATCTTGATATCTTTCGAATTTGCTAGTCATCATGGTTGACGTCTGCAGCAAGCACGTCCACTCTTCATTTAGGTGGCCTTACAAAAGGATGCTTGCATCTCTTGAAGTACACTCCACCGTACTTTTCGTCTATTTGTCTCTGTTCTTATTATTGTCTGCCCGACCCATCAGTGCTTCATTTGCACTGCTTCACTATTAGTGTATATTTTTCTGCACGCTGAAAACGAGATACGTTTCGAAGACCTCAGCTGAGCACTCCAACCAGATGTTGTGAAGCCGGGTAGATTTCAGAAAACATCGCTAAAGGGCTCTGTGGACAGTGAGGAAATTTATTTATATGACTGTACTATTATCCCCGTCTTTACTGCAAAACATAGCCCTGGGAAGTTTGTTGAATAGACAAGGTGAACGAGGAGTTTTTTCAGCTGTTGCTTGGTGACTTCATTGAAAAACTTGAATACGGTCCATGCTGCTGTTCCTTTTTCTCTAATTTTCTTTTTTTCTTCCTTTTTTATGTTGTTCTCTATGCTCATTAAGCGCCTAAGGTATATGTGCGAGGTAATCTTTTTCATAAGAGAACCACCCAGCTTGCTCTATCCGCCTTTGCACCGCGGGTTTTTCATGAAGTGGGTTTGCTTCCTATTTATACCCAGTCCGATCTTTTTTCCCACTTTGCTAAGCTTAATGATCATTCTCTCTGCTTCGTTGGCACTCTTCAGAAGATGGCGATGTCAGCGAAGCGAAGAGCCAGTAGGAAATTCCCAGCAATACGTATTCTCTTGCCGTCCGAAACGAGTGACTTCGTTATCCACTGCGCTGTGGCAGCAAACAGCTTTGACAATAATGCGTCGCATTATCGACCCTCTTTTCCTATGGGTTCTTGGCGTGACTGAAAGAGTCGAGGGGTCGATGAAAAAACTGTGAATTGTGCGGCAGTTCCGTTAAAAGTCTACTAGTGTTCGTATGCAGAATCGGTCTCTTCTTTAGTCGACAATCCCACTAGAATTAAATTTCTTTCCATCTAGTCAAACACTTAAAGCGTTTATTATAGCAGAAAGCCAAAATTTTTAAAAACACTTCAGATGTTTTCGCAAGCGGAATACGAGGCGTTAGTGAGTGGTTGGAACGAGAAACTGCAGTTCATTGCTGATGATAACCACAACTGGAACCTGTTCATGGCCGCCAAACCCCAGTAAGGACCATATTCTTTTTTGGAAGTGCCTCTTCTTCTCCGTCTGTGGTCAAAATAGCTTCCACTACCGTTACTCTATACGAATGCAGTTAAACATTTCGGCCTATATTATGATTATTTGAAAGGTGTATTTGCTTTTTTACAAACTCTCTTTGTTATGTTCTGTTTGAAAATCGTTTTTTTGCGTTGTCATAAAAATTGTGAAGGGACGACCGCATTTGATTTAGAACAGCCATCTATGGTTGAAAAACTGGTAGCGCCATAAAAACAAGATTACTTGCTCCCAGGTCGATTTCGTGTAGTTTAGATTTTTCGAACTTTATCTAAATGGAGTTCCTGGAATGTAAAAGTAACTGCTGACGTTTGCAATTCACTTCCTAACTTGAAAACTGGATCAGGGCAGAACTTAAATCAGATGAAAGCTAAAACCTTCTTTGGTCAAAATCAGTACTGTTTCGTTCTCATTCCTATTCCATCTGTGTTTTAATGCCCTTGAGCTTGTCAGAGACTATAAAATTGTCGTCTTTTTGTTCAGAAATCGCAAGCTTACATTTATTTTCATACAAAAACACATGCAACACAACTGTTGCTGGCGCCTCCGTAGTGTCGCCTTCTTCAGAGGCGTTCTTTTTGCAAATTTTCTTTTGTAAAAATTCCTGTAAAAAAAGGCTCTGAAGGAGATACTACTGCCGAAACGTCAGATAGTGTTGTTTTGCATGCATTTCTGTATGGAAGTAAATGTATGCTGTATAACAACCTCTCGATTGCTGAGCAAGAAAACAGCGCATTTATTAGGTTGTAACATATGAAATGTCCGATTTTAAATGTAAGTCGAAATACGCACAACTAGAACCAGCACACTTTTTCCAACAAGAAGCACGTTTAGTTATTCCAGTTGCTTAAAATTCCGGAGTTCTGAAAGCGATGAACTCTTTGAAGGCATTTTTTCAGTTATACTGGTTGGTGAAGCATTTGAATTTGTCAAGGTGCTTGAAGAAGTGAAAATCGGCAGGCGGGAGGTCTGGTAAATATGGCAGATATGGAAAAGCTTCGTAGACCAACTCGTCCACCTTCTGTGGCGCTGGTTTCGTAACGTGAGGCTTAGTGTTGCAGTGGAGTAAGATTGGTAGCTTTCTGTTGACTAATTCAGGTCGTTATTGGAGTTTACGGTGCATTTTGCCGCCGCTTTGTTGGCAACACTTCTTTGCCGTAATCGTTTCATCAGGATTCAAAAAGCTGTGATGAATCAGCCCAGCTACAGGCCACCAAAAGGTTACCATAACCTTTTTTTGGTGAAATTCCTGCTTTGGAAAGTGCTGTAGGGCCTGATCGCAATTTAACCATTCAGCTGAACGTCGCCAGTTGCACAGAATCCACATCTCGTTGCACGTCAACATTCGATCAAGAAAACGGTCGTTTTAGTTGATCAGGATAAAAAAGATGGAACTTCAAAACGGCGGTTTTTATCGTTTAATTCCTGCAGCACCCACTTGTCGAGATTTTTGTCTTTCTTATGCGATTCAAGTGAGTGGAAGTTGTTTCTGTGTTTCCGGCAAGCTGTTATTCAAGCTCTCGAACAGTTGTTTCGTATTTGTTTCGAGTAGTTTCCTCGTCATCATCAAGTTCATTGGGACGTCCGCGACCTTCCTTAACATCGAGATCGAGATAGCCAGATCGAAATTTCCGGAACTATGCTCGTACTGTTGACAACCCACCGTCACGTCAACTTGATGATATTCCGAGCACTTCCCGCCGCATTACGTCCACTCTTCCACTCGTGCAAAAAACGGCACGAATATCACGTTGATTCATACTAAAGTTAAAGTCTGTAAAAATGTAAAATAGTAGACCTTGAAAAAAACCAATGCTAGTATAGAAAGACCAGACTCTGTGCTTTAAAAATATATGTCAAACATACATGATAAACAAAATTTTTATTCGAAAAACTCCACGGAAAACTGGAACGTTAAAATCGGACATTTCATATGTATCAACCTAATGTAACCTAATACCGAGGTTAACAGAAAGTCTATCCTGTGTTGTTAGCGATATTCATGTTGCCACTCGCAATTTTCGGAAATCGACTCAAGTTGTTTTCCATACTGTGTTTGTACTTAGTATGACTACCATATTACATTATAACGAGGGGTTAAATTCTCACATATTATTTAAAACTTCGCTAAAGATTGGTGAAATACATTAGCTTTGAAAAGTACGTATTGAAGTAGAAAGCTGCTGGTTTCGGGCATGGCTCACTTCGAACTACAGTTAGAAAGTAATCCGCTCGTGGTGTTCAGAAATTGTACAAAGGGTTGTTGTAGAGGTATGCATGCAGCTCATCAAAGCACCAAATTCGGTTAACTAAACATTTTTAAAGATTAATATTCAAACAGCGAAAACTGTGTCGTAGCAGCATGAAAAGATTGTAAAATAAAAGCCACAACGTGTTCAGCACGTAGAGATGATATATAGAGTAAGAAGAGATGTTAGCAATGCCAAAGTAAGAGTTTACTGTAGAGCTTAATATGAGGAAAAACTATTTTTATACATCGTTAGCTACGAATGGTCGCGCAGAACCGGAAAAAAGTGCGTACGACAAGCGAGTATGGATCAACAAATCAGCAGTGAAGACTACTATAGACAGTTTGTCAATAGGCGGCACACACTGCATTTTCGAAACTATGTATCGTTGAGGTTTTCTCATCCAGACGAATCCACAGCAGTGATGCACCGCTTGAATGAATTGTCATCGAGACGCCACATCACAAGAACGAACAGCAGTGGATGATGGACTCGAATCGTAGTGGCTCTGAAAAAGAGGGAGACGCAGGAACGTTAATCTCAATAAAAGTTTCTAACAACCTCATGTAAGCTCACGAATTAAATGAAATATTGGCCATTCATAGTTGAGTGAAATCCGGCTGCCATTAGTGCACTCCGGCAGTTTTTATTGAGTCACCAATGGTCGGAGTTGGATCTAACCATATATTGCTTCACTTCCTCTAGATCTTCGACCGCATTGAATCTGCTACGTTTCAATGCATAAAACCGATTTTTTATTAACGATTTTTTGGATGAAAGATGGGCTGCTCTTCTCACTATACGACCACCGGATCCATGCTTCGCTATCAATGTGTCTTTTATTCCATCTTTCTTCATTATCCTAGGTCTCGAGGATGAGATAGTTTTTTGACTCGCATATAATGCTGAAATATTTGCAAAACCCCGGACCGCAGGTGTATGCAGTGGGGAACGAACACGAGCTATCGTCCTTTCCGGGGAGTAGCGCATTTAACCACCACACCATCCGGGTCCTACGTTTTGCATGTCTCTCAGCTAGTTCTATTGATCTTTTGCCATCAGCAATCACCCGTCGACGGGATTGATCTGGGGAGCCCAAATCGGCATTGAACCCAGTTAAGCTAAGGCTTAGTTATAATTACAATCTTAACCCTTTTATTTACTGCCTTTTTTTAATGGCAGGTGGTGAAGTGCGTTACTCCCCTGAAAGGACGATAGCGCGCGTTCGTTCACCGCCGCAGACACCTGCGGTACGGAGTTTTGCAAATATCTCAGCATTATATACGAGTTATATTTCGCAACATGCCTTGCCATTAAAAAGAAAAAGACAGTAAATAAAAGGGTTAAAATAGATTTTTGAGTTCAAAGGTTCTAATTTCGGCTCTTTGTTGTGTGTATCAGTTAGATCTCGAAAGACGTTCCATACCCCATGAGCAGTGCACTGTACTCCTAACGTGGTCGAAGCATCGTTCCATGTCTCTGCTGCATGGCAGAACGTTGGGAGAAATGTTGAATCGAAAAAGTGAGTGGGAATGTTCAGGAGTTCTATTTAGTCGGTGACTTTTTTAAGAGGCACGAATGCAACCCAAGTTGCCTTCGTTCTCCTGTCTAAATCCACCTGCATAGTGTTTTCTACGATCATTGAACGCTCAAGTAATATATGCGAGGTGGTCCCTACTCGATGAATCGTTGAGTTTGATTTCTTGTCCATCTCGCCATTTCCTTCCGATCGTCGATCTCGTCCTCCGGTTTATGCTCAACCCGATCTTTCCTCCCTGCTTTGTTGAGCTCACTAGCTGTCGTCTCTGCCTCGGTGGCAAAACGCTTTTCCATATTTTACAAAGTTGGAACTAAGGGCAGGTGGTATTTCCGACAAACTTCTATGACCCTGGATACGGTTTGGATCTAGCCCGAGCAGAAAAATCTTCGCCGATATCCTGCTTGCTCAACTAGATGCGCCTCATCCAATGCTCTTAATATGCCAGATAAGCTAATCTTTGTGAAGACCTTGTAGAGTGCACTCAACAAGCATTTTTTTTATCAATTTCGTATCATTGAGAGAAGTTTTAATGATTCCATCCTCATTCACCAGTGCTGACATCAGAGCACTATACTCACACAAGTTCCGACGACTTTTTTTCAGACTTGTTCTTTTTTGCCGTTCTTCTACGGCTTTATTCTGATTGCAGGAAGTAGATCGTTTCACGAAAGCCTTCTGCACCTGGCATTTATTAGTAGCCATGCTAAGTGTGATACAGTAGGATCGACCTTCAGTTCTCTCCTCTTCTTGATCAGCTTAGTAGCTGAGTAGATGCGGTCGGATTTCGTTTGAAGAACAGTGGAAATCATCGGTGCAACCTCTATGTTCTTCGACAGGTAGCTCCCAGTGTTCAGTTAGATCTCGCCTAATCTGCCAATCAGTTTAGGATAGCATTTATTTTAGGATGCTCTTGCCGTATACATATATTCTGAACACTTCGAGAGCTTCAGATAAGGGATTAAAATATCTTGGTGAACTCCGGGACACATAAGAATCAGCGAAATGTGCTAAAGTCGTCATACAGAAAACTCATAGCAAGAGTAGTCGATCGTCTTCGATTTTTTTTCACCAATGTAGACTGTCTATCGTCTACCATAAAAGTATCACTGATTACCATCTCCCACACTATAGACATCGGATTTTTTAACGACTGTACTGCACGT